AAGAAATCTTGAATGTTCCATAAAAATCCCCTGTTATTCATCTAAATGTGCCTTTTATAATACTTGAAGATGCTTTGTTTGCTGTCGTCTGACCTCTGTTTGACCTCGCCTTGATTGCAACTTGTAATTGTCTAAGTTATTTTGTCACAGTTAAAAACAGTAATAAATGAAGGCATAAAAAGATGACAGCTCCTTTTTGTGCCGCGTCAAAGCCAGTGGCAGGTCTTTATTTGTGCACATGTCCCACTTTGTTGCTACCCCCTCCCAGAGCAAGAAGGGATGCGGTGGGGAGGGGTGAGAAGAGATGCACGAACTTCCGAGAGACTTGGGATGTCTGGAATGACCTCCCGCCCAACTCATTATTCTCTCTTCATATAGCCGTATGCCTATACATATCCATAAAACACTGTGATATAGCCGGGCACGGATCGTATTGCTTTTTCCCTACAATCAATCCACTCCAGAGTTTGTTTAAATCGAGCCGAGACCACCTCATTCATACATTCTTAGGCCGATTGTTTTGACGTGGATACTAGCGTGATTGCTGGATTTACATATGCCAAACGAACCGCGCTAACTGGAAAAATGAGACAGGTTCCAAAACAAAAGTCTAGGTGTGAAAGTACCCTGAGTCTGAACGATCTTTTGTTTTGAAAAATGACCGTATTCTCAGTTAAATCTCAGTTCACTTAAGCGCCAAAATTTAACCCACAAGCTTGTAAAATTACTAAGAAGCAGACGTCTTTAGAAAGTTTCATGGAAAAGGTCCAAGTGAAGGACCCACAAACTGCCAAGCAATAGATCCGCAACTCATTTGTCAACAAATCAGGTGCATCCAGTATGTCTGCGCGGCTTCCAAGAGCTTTCAGGCACCCCCATTTGAAAACAACTTTGGAATGCTGCGAGCACACCTCGAGTTACATCACAAGTACTGATCGATCAGCCTCATATTTTGTATGGAATATACACATCTTGATAGAATAATTATCTCAGACAAACACTGCAGTGCTTTTCAACTTTCTCCATAAACAAAACTTGTATCAAAGTTGCTGCAATGTTTTGTCAGCTTGTCATTCCCTGAGAAAACGATTGATGGTTGCCTAGCAATCTATGTACACACGGCCCTGACTGTGCCACGGTACCATTGTCAAGCGCTGACCAGTCCACAGTGACAAAAATGTTGGGGACCACTGCTGTAGACAATCAAAAAAAAAAGGGGGTTAAGGAGGTTAATAATATTAAACTAAAAATGTTTTTTAAAGAATTACAAATTGCTTTTATTCTAGCCAAAATAAAATAAAAAAGACTTTCTCCAGAGGAAAAAATATTACAAGAAATACTGTGAAAAATTCTTTGCTCTGTTAAACATAATTTGGGAAATATTTGAAAAAGGAGGGCTATTTGTTTTCTCTTCAACTGTAAATGTCAAATAAAGTAACTGACTATGACAAGGACTCCTGGCATATCAGATGGTGGAGACAAACCTATTCCTGACCGGATAACTACACAGCAGGGCTAATAATCTTGACTTTACCTGTACATGTCATAAACACTGACATTATCACTCAGACAAAAAAAAGTTCTTGTGTAGCTTTTATTAAAATAAAATGAACTTGTCTCCATGTACTTTTCAGATCATTCAAAACCAGAGATTCAATCTACATTCTGTGTTCTTGAAATTAAACAAAGCAGTCCACACCTGTATAAAAGACGACGGCAATAGATGTACAAGTTTCTTGGAAGACGTTCAGGTACAATTAGTATATCAATGTTCATTCTTAAGAGTAATTGAAAATTTACAGAGAAATTAAGCAAATATCCTGGTCATTTTGCCTGACTTTGAAGAACACGGCCCGATAGAAATTCATTAAATGACCTAAATTGCATCTAGTGTTAATTACAGCTACCCAAAAACTCATTCTTCCAATTCAATGAGGAACATCACAGAATCACTGAAGTGTAAAATTAACAACGGTCAATGTCATAAACAACAACAAGTCTGATCAAGAGCTTGCTTTTTTCCTTTTTTAAATTACAGAATGATTCCTGGAACATAACAACCAAAATACCATCCGATAGCCACCTAGTATTCACACTGCATGCACCAAAACAATAATTATTACCACAGGTCATGGAAACGAAAAAAAAGCAAGTTTGCATATATCTGCAAAGCATTATGGACTTCAGGCAAATATTGAAGGGCAAAAAAGCTTCTAGGTTTAGCTTTCTGCATATTTTAGCTGTCACACATTTTTTTGCCAAGCACTACGTTGATCCTGGAGCATCATTTTTGTTTGAAAATGTAAATCCATACTTATTTCCTACCCCTAAACTAAACCATAGCTGTAAATTATTTCAAAAAACAATAATAATATTTGGATAACAATCATGTAGAACAAACTGTAAACCATACTTTAAACCGTATTCCTGATTGGCTGCTTGGAATGTTGTTCCAAGATCAACATTGATGTTACTCCAGGAAGGTGTCCTACTTGGTGAAATCAGGTTGGCGGTAAAGATGTCTTTCATTATCATTGAAGTAATAGTTCATCTAAAAATGACAATGAAATTAATGTTTGCTCCCCCTCATTATATTTCTACCCCTCAAGGATCAGTTTTAGACCCGTTACTGTTAACAATATACATGCTACCCCTGGGAGACATTATTAAAAGACACTGGTGGATGAGCTTTCACTACTATGCAGATGATACTCAATTATATATTTAAACTAAACCTGATAAGACATCTGAACTGTTTAAGCTAACTGAGAGTATCAAAGATGTTAAAGACAGGATGACCAACAATTTTCTTCTCTTAAATTCAGAAAAAAACTGAATTATTACTTATTGGGCTTAAATCCTTTACACAGCAGATCTTACAACTCGACCGGCAATTAGAGTGTTGCAAAGTTAGCATTAGCCCTACTCTAAAAGATCTGGATGTTATATTAAGACAGCAATTTAACTTTTGAAAATCATATCTCTTATGTCACAAAAAAGGCCTTCTTTCATCTGAGAAATATAGCTTAAGTTACAAAGTATGCTATCCATCTCATGATGCAGAAAAGCTAGTTTATGCTTTTATGACTTCTAGGTTGGATTACTGTAATGCTCTGTTCACTGGTTGCCCAGCATCTTCTATTATTAAACTTCAACTAGTACATAATGCAGCTGCCAGAGTTCTTACCAGGTCTATAAAATATGATCATATCACCCCAATTTTATCATCCTTACACTGGCTGCCTGTTAAGATTCTTATTAGTTTTAAAATATTACTTTTTACCTGTAAAGCTTTAAATAAGCTAGCTCTTGTTTATCTAATCAACCTCCTGTCTCGCTACAATCCAACTCGCTTTTTAAGATCTCAAAACACAGCTCTTCTGGTAGTACCTAGAACAGCAAAGTCGAGTAAAGGAGGTCGAGTCTTCTCATTTATGGCTCCTAAACTATGGAATAGCCTTCCTGATAATGTCCGAGGCTCAGGATTAAAGACCTATCTTTTTAGTAAAGCATACACTTAATGCATCACATAGCGATATGATGCATGAATGTGCTCCACGCAGATGAGCTGGCTTGACCTGTAGGACACACTTCTCCTGTCTTAATGCAGCAGACATTGTGTTGTCTGCTCTCATATGCTTTACATGTTTGTTGATATGACTGCTATTTTCATTTATAACACCCACATTTTTGCATCTCATTTAAATACACTATAAACAGCAGCTACGCTATTTATTTTCTTTGGTGTCTATTTCCACCAGGGGAGACTTATCCTGAGGCCCCTAGTGACTATTCAGCACCATTGATGCGATCCAAGACATTTGGAGAAATGATGCCAAGGTATCCGTAGTCCTGGACCAGGCCGTATCCTAAGCTGATGCTGTGGTGGTCATGGAGTGCATGCGACTGATTCCTGATAGGCTGGAGTGACAAATGAGTCCCCACATTGATCCTGGGGGCCAGCCTGACCACCCACTGGTGACCTACTCACACCTACAGTTCTCCACAATAGACGTCCAGTTTCTCCAGCCTCCGGTGTGTCTGATTGGAGTTTAAACTACACTTAGCAGGACTCTGGCCTTGCATGACCGAGTTTGACAACCCCTGCTGTAAAGTATGGAAGATGAGGGAGTTTTTTATATTTCATCCGAAATATCTTAATTTGTGTTCCAAGATGAACAAACGTGTCAGGGGGTTGAAATGATATATGAAGGTGACAGAATTTTATTTTATTTATTTTTTTGTGAACAATACCTTCAAATACCTAATAAAGTCTACACTGGACCTGTCTACAAAATTACCGTCTTCAACAGATTGCTGTTCAACAGATTGTCTTTTCAGATTGCTGTAACAAATTGATTCATGGAAATGAGGTAGCATAAAAACTATGACAGACTTTCAAGCATCTGACACTGAACACAATTGTTTCCATGCAGCCCCACACATACAGTAATATCTTCATTCCACTCTTCAAATAACACAAAAATCCATAACAAAAAAAAATGTCACAAGAACAGACAAGGATATCTGAAAATGTCAACTGTAGACGCCCACCGATGTTTTATCCTCAACAGCTAATCTGAACAGTCTGACAATGGGCCACAATTTATTTGCCTCTATTTCCACTCAGCCTCACGGCATTTTCCAGTGACGTTTTTAAGATTTTTTATTACGGTTGTCAGTTTGTCTTTGGCAGACGTGATGGTATAATTCATACATCATCAGACGCTCAGTTTGGAGGGTTGTATGTGGCTGCTTCAGTAATGAAGGTATGCAGAGAAGACCGATTTGTGAGACGCTGACACACAGAGATAGAGATACAATTATCTCTCTGACTTCGCTCGGAGCATAAACTCTGAGCTGTAACATCCCATTTCACCAACTTCAGGAACCAAATCAAAAGATATGGTTCTGGAGAAATGGTGTGGGGTTTATTTTGCAAAAATTGGTAAATAAAACAACTCTCACGTTAGCGGCAGAGAATAAATGATGAGTCTCACCTTCAGTGTTTTGAGCTGAGATTTGGCTGATGATAACAAACAAGGCAATTGCTGAACCCAGACAGTCCAATCGCCACCAGCGCCTCCGCATCTTCACTTAATGCCTACTGCCAACCCACCTGTAAAAAAGCAGATAAGAAACAGATTCATTTAAAACATCCAAAATACCAATATACCTCTGTTAAAGCGGCAATATGTGGTTTTCATTAGTAACGTCTAAAAAGCTTAAAGTCCACATGAACAGGAAGCTGCGAAAAGTTCACACTTAGCTAATGCTTGATAAGGTAAATGGGTGTTTGGCATGCTGCGAAGGATCCTCGAGCCCGAGGCTCCCTACTGTTTAGTTGTGAGAGAGGGGAGTTTGAGTCCCGTTTACACTAATACCTTTCGTTTTAATACACTTAAGTTTTGCTACAGTAGGCATGGGACGATAACCGGTTTCAAGGTTTACCATGGTTTGAAAGAGTCAAGGTTTTAAAATCGCAAAAACTCTCTCATACTGTTTCTAAGGTATATTTTGTTATGTTTTTTTATGTGTTGTAAAGAAATCTGTTTTTTAAGTCAATGATTTATTTTAATTATTTAGCCTGACATATTACAAATGTGAATTGTAAATTGAAAAAACGAAAAAATAAATACTGTGTATTGTGTTCATTGGGGAAAATGTGTTGTTGTTTTTTACTAAGACTTTAAAAAGAACTTTTTATTTTGGAGCAGTTATCATAATTCTTTGATAACGTGAAACTGTGATATTTTTATCAAACGTTATCATACCATTACAAACCTAAAATGGACCATGACTAAGTTACACCTTCCATCCATATACCCTGGAGATTTCGAGCGCCGAAAACAGAGCTTTTTGAAAACGCTGGAGAGGCCGTTTTTTTTTTTTTTTTTTAAATGCTGCTGGCTTGGCTGCAGACATTCAACATCTGATTGGGGCTTTTCCCTCAATATTAAGTAGCCTATACAAAGTTCAGTCTTGCTCCCGAGGACACGTCATGTAAATCCTCAAAGAGAGCAGTGTTTTTATAACTTTATTTCAATCACCCTACCTACGTTTTTTTTCACTATTAACAATAAAATGAAAAAAAAGACAAGGAACTATTTTCATTTTGATATTAACAACATAACAGGTGCTAATAATGTTGAGGCGTCATGTAGCTACATATAATATTACTGTCATTTTCACTGTGTGCATATTTATAACAAAACAGAGCCTATAACATAACTGTCTCCTTTCATTTTCAGTGAAAATACGAAACACACCCTCTCTTTTGCTGAATATCAGGTTTGATGATCAAAAATGGCCATTATTAAAGTGTAACATACTATAAGTTTACACATTATACGAAATAAATGCAAGCAATCAGTCAATTGTGCAGAATCAGTGTACATAAATTAATATATTAAGTTATCTTTGCGCTCAGCCAAAACACGTTACTCAAGAACAAGCAATTGACTCAAATGACCTAATCAGGAAATTAGTAGTTATTATTATTATTATTATTTTCATTATTATTTTCATTATTATTATTATTATTATTATTATTATTATTATTATTATTATTATTATTGTTATTATTATTATTATTATTATTATTATTATTATTATTAAACAGCACTTTACAACAAGGCTAATAATATTGCATTTCCAATCAAGAACATGACAAGAATGTCAAATGAACACAAAGACAAGAACACAAAATGAATGCTTATAATGTTAATCAAGCTATTATGTACAGACAAAAACAATGTGACAAGCAAAGACAAGGGAATCATTAAAACTATATCACAAAGCTTGTGCACACACAAACAAACACTAACAAACACACACACACACACACACACATACACATACACATACACACACACACTTATTCAGCACAAGTCAGTGAACTCTTTATAGAAGCTCAATCTTCAGTACAAAAATCAGTCAAAGCAGATAAATCTGTGCGTTGAGCTGGCATGTGGATGTGAAATCGATGTGGTAGGCACAGTAACTGATCATTGCACACTGAATTAGCACTCACACATCCTGAAGTGCAAGATGCACAGAAAGAAAGGATGAAAGAAAACTTGGAAGAAGAAAGTTACACAGCAAAAAAAGTAAGACTTTAAATACTTAAAGACGTATGGAGAGTTTAGTGGAATGGAAATCATTAAAATATACATGTTTCTACCTTTTCCTTAAGACTGAGAAGTACACTGTGACTGTTACACATATTGCACCCACTAAATATACATACACTTTCAAACATAGTCCAATTGCCGGCAAACAAATACGTATACACAGATCTGTGTTTTGCTATCAGTGTATTGTCCATGTGTGTTTGTTTAATGTGAAGTATTTTTCTTTTTCTCTGTTGTCTAAAATAATCACTGTTTATGTGCCATTTCAAGTCAAATTCAATTTAAACAATATCCCATATCATCTTTCCATACACAATGAAAAAACCACACACAGATGCTCCCTCAAACACCATTTATTTAAAAACCAAACCACAGAAAGAGTACATACACTCACCAGTATCCACTCTTCAGAACCAAACCTGTTCAGTTTGCAACCCAAGACAATAGGCTCGTTTGAGGTGCGCCTCGCCTTGACTGCATTGTAAATGAGAGCAGGCTTGCGCAGTAAGAGGAGGGCTCAAAAATTACATCAGAAGTCGGACACCTGCCGAATCTCGCTGTTTAGCCACCTGGAAACGTCACCAGTGGCGGAGATCTCGTTCGCGTTTTTTATCGCAGACGAGTGACCTCATGAAAAAATACTATGGTGATTTATAGTAAATATTTTAGCATTTTTGAACATGTTTATTCAGTATTGGGTTGTGTTTATAGTTGTTGTGATACCAGAACTTTAAAATTTAAATAGGCTATTTTATACCATGGTTCAAAAGCACTACAGTATACATTACTGTAGTATTTTTAATGTGGGAGTGGATGCAATAGAAATATCACTGTTTTTACAGAGATGGTCAGAATTATAGAAGATGAACAGCTCATTAACTAAAAGGGTGTATTAAAAATATAATTCTGTATATTCAACAAACATTAAAACAATAACAAAATAAACAGCTTATACAGCAAGAAAGCTTTCAAGAAACCTAATTTGGCTACATTATAAATGAAGTAGCCATATAGCATGCTTTTGAGTGAAGGGTCATGACAAATGTTTGTTTGACAAATAAATTCTTAGGGGGTTAATTATATTGACATGCTTATTAGGTCTATATAAACTGCTTTTACTCCAGCCAGACTAAAATAAACAGCCCAAGACTTTCTCCAGAATAAAAACTATTAGACAGTATAAAACTGTGGAAATGTTCTTGGTCTATTAAACATGACTTTTGACTCCACATACATATACATATGTGTGTGTGTGTGTGTGTCTTGTTTACTACACCCTTTTCACTTCTCATATGAAACCACACAAAGATGAGGCATAATGACAAAACAGTCTGATTACCTTTGTATTTCTGAATATATGTATATATTGGATTGACTTTAATGGAATAATGCTGCATAAAAATTACAATACAAAATTCACACAAACATACAAAAAGTGAAAATGACAACAAATAGGACTTAAGACTAAGAGAGAAATATTATACAGCACATGCACATCCTAATGATTTATTAATAACATTTAGTTATATTGGATAGGTCACGTTATGTTTTACAAAGATGTGTTTTGTTTTTGTTTGCGTGTAAATCTAAATAAATAACCATATGTAATGCTCTTTATGACTTTTTTTTTAATTATCAACGAAAATACAAAAAAGGTATTCAACAAATCCAGGTCTAAACCTTAGTTAAACAAGATAATAAAGTGTAATGTGTCAGTCTCATCCAATCAGCATTAAGCTGTGTCGTCAGCCAGTCGTTTCCCATCATGCTTTTAGTGAGCGCAGTCTTTTGAGAGCCACAGCGGCCGACTGCTCTGTCCGAGGTACCCGCCTCGCGATCGCGAGAGTTTTTTGGCGCACGTCAGCGTGACATCAGAGCGAGGCGAAGGCAAGGCGGACACATTTCTAACCGGCATGCATCTTGCGGTGATCACCGGTGATCGATTCTGCGCAGATTTTGGCCAAGTCAAACGAGCCTATTTATACACATTTTCCCATCATTCATTTGAAGCGGCCATCTTGGAGTGACATCATCAGGGTCATGACCTCATGTTTGGTGATAAAACACATTGTTTTGTTGTTTATAGTCATATCTGTTGTGGTATATTTTGACTTAACCATGCACGCTCATTTACTTCTATCCATTTATATATTGTTTATGTTTTTTATATGTATATTTGTCTAGATATTACCATACCCTGCAGAAAAATCCAGCTTAAACCAACCTAGGCTGATTGGCTGGTTTTAGCTGGTCGACCAGGCTGGTTTTAGAGGGGTTTTGGCCATTTCCAGGCTGGTTTCCAGCCATTTTCAGCCTGGTCTTAGCTGGTCAGGCTGGAAACTGACCAGCTAAATCCAGCTAAAACCAGCTTGACCAGCCTGGTTTAAGCTGGTCAAGCTGATTTTAGCTGGTCATCTCCCAGCCTGGCTGGACCAGGCTGGAAATGGATGGAAACCAGCCTGGAAATGGCCAAAACCCCTTTAAAACCAGCCTGGTCGACCAGCTAAAACCAGCCAACCAGCCTAGGCTGGTTTAAGCTGTTTTTTTCAGTAGGGTACCAAACTCTAAAAAGGTATAATCCATGGACGGGGCTAGTTATATAAAATGGCTTCCAAACATTCACCCAGGGTGGGTAGTTGTAGGAGTAGTGTGCATTGTGTGGAGATGTTGGAGATTAGTGATGGTGAGATGAAGCTTTCTGAACCAGTGAACCGCTCAACGCTGCTGGTGAAAGTGTGGGAAAGCACTGTGTTGCAAAAATGTCAAATGTTTACAACTGACTAGTTCATTCATGTATTAATACAACAATGGTAATATAAAAAAATTACTCAATTACTGTAGTTTATTACACACATAAGTTATGTTACATTTCACCACCGATGACTATAGTGAAATCCAAGATATTAAAAAGTTTTTTTCAATTATCGTATTCCAACTGTTCTTTTACCTGCCGCCTCGTTTCAAGGGGGGATCAAACCGGCAATTC